CTTAAGCGTGTACTTATACACACTTAAAGTTAAACATTTTCTTAAGCTCTGCTAAATCAGGGTCTATAATTCTTTAACAACCCAATCATATCATTTATCTTTCTCACAGAGGTAAAATTCTGGGGCCCTATTCTCCCTCTGTAGAAAACCAGTAAATCCCCCTGGAGTTAATGGAGGACACTGGTATCATATGTGGAGAATGGGGTCCATACTCAGCACTTACACATGCTAAAATCCCATTCACTTTAATGGGAGATTTGCCTGAGTATAGACTGTAGGATTTGACTCACAGTTCGACAGTTGATTTAAAATATTTGCAGTCCAGTGGTTTCATTAATGCCAAATTACCACCCCAAAGCAGAAAAGGTGCCAATCAGGTAGGCCAAAGTCAGCTCCTAGTTACAGTCATGCCGCAACACCAACTGTGGCTGCTCTCATGGAACTGGGAGTAGAGTTTGGTCCACTGTGCTCTTAGTTCCCTGGTGTGTCTTTGGGCCAAAGGAACACTACGTAGAGCTGGTACTTGGACAATTGCTAATGGCAGGAGAATCCACAGTTCTTTTGACATTAAGTCACTGTAAACATGGAAAGAAAAGAAATCTGTGTTGTATTTTTTGGCTTACAATGCCTTAAGCCTTATCTCTCATTCTGTCAGGAACCAAGAACTATGTATACAGATGGTGCAATTTATTATGTTCTGTACTGTGATCAAGTGCTGAAATACCTTCAGGAAATCACCAGAAAGCCTGAAAAGCTTGCAGTCTCTTGTGACTCCAGCTCGGTAAAACTATAATTGAACAAGGACAATATATTAAGCACTGTATGTTACGCAGTAGACCTATGGAAAAGGAGTGCAGCTTTTTCAGCATCATTACAGAAAATATATTTATTGTACAATTGCTGATTGTATCCAAGGTCATCAGCTATGCATCTCTCTCTATTCTGCCCTCCCTCTCTCTCTCTCTCTCTCTCTCTCTCTCTCACACACACACACACACACACACACACACACACACAGACATTTACAAATAAATACGTAGTTCTATTGGGACAAATTCATCCTGGTCCATTAAGTTCACCTGCATTGTGTACATTTATAAGACGTTGCTGAGCTTGATTCCCTTCACACTTACACTAGTGTAAATCAGGGGTAAGTTCACTGAAGTCAGTGGAGTTACACCAATGTAATGGTGGTGTAAGGGAAGAATTCTAGCCCTTATTTGCAATGGCGTTGACATATTTTTATTCTTGCTTCACAAAGTGGAGTCATGAAAGAGTAATTTTGCTTAACTAGGCTGAATTTCTGCCAGAAACGTAGAGAAAAAAATTAATCTTGCATCCTTGCGCTCCCTCATTCAAACCTGTGTATAAAATACATAACTAGAGCTGGGCTTAAGACTTCACATCTGGAGCCCAAGCACTGCAATATTTGAGCTTTTCAGCTCCAGGATTTTGCTTTGGCCCATCATAAAGACAGCGACCATTTGCAAAATTTGGATCTGGATCCAGATTTGGATTTCAAGCACCCCACAGTCTGGGAGGTGTTCAGATGAGACATTTTGATTTAGGCCCATCTCTCTCCATAATTAGAAACAGAGTGTGACACTAAAAATTGACTCAAGCTATCGACGCAGCAAAAATATTTATTAGCGTGTTGACATATGATAAATCTAACTTACAGAAACAGCCACTATTCACAGGCCCTCCCGCAGCTTTGCTCATTAACAGGCTCACTAAAAAACTAAACCCGTTTTCCTTTTTTATCTTTCCACTCTATTTCTTCTTTGTAAAGAGGCAAGACTGTGCCACCCTTACAATAAAGGATTCTTTATTCACTTCCCTGCATGCGCTCTTAAATGTTCCAATGTGCTTCATTATCACATAGAAACACAATAGAAACGAATGTCTCAAAGTGTCTTTCATTATTACATCTCACAAAACACCAAAAAAAAAAAAAAAAAAAAACCCATACAGCAAATAATTCACTCACATGACAGGATAATCCCACACGCCAGGTTGAAAGAAATGTCGCTTCCCAGGAGAAGGCATCTGACTGAGATTTGTACCCTTTGTGGCCCATCAAACCTTCAGGGCTCCAAGTCGCATGGCCGTCAGGGCGCTGACTATGTTTAAGGTTTGAGTGACTTTTTTACCCAATGTAGTAAGAGGAGGCCCTGAGAGATAAACCTTGGTATCAGAGGCATGGTATGAGGCCTAAGGCCTGAACTAAAGTAATGGTCAAGACTTTGCTAACATAAAGCAAAGTTAAACTGTGAGCCAGAGGCAGGCCCTGCTCACAGAAGCTGGCAAGGAAAGGGCTGATGCTGCAAAAAGATACATACCTAAAAAGTACTGAACACTAGATATTAAAACACTCCTGGAACATTCCACAGATAACATAGAACAGGCCGACCCATCCCAATGACAGGGGCAAAAGGGTAAAATGATGGATAGATCGAACCAACATGTACAAGGTGAGAGGCGGCACCTTACTACGTAGAAGGGTTGTACCTTGCTGCGTAGAGGGGTTGCACCTCAATACGTCAGGAGTGATGTGTAACTTGTTTGTACCTGTGTATAAAAATGTATCCCTGGGGTGGTGTCTTTGTCCAGCCGAGGGGGTAGTGGAAAGTCCCGCCACTGAGCTGTGTCCATTGCCGAGCGGCACTTTCTAGCAGTATGCCCTGTAGACTAAGTAATCTACGGGGAACTGAAATTGTGTCAGGGTCGCAATAAACCTGGCCGAGGTGCCTTTGTACCTTACTAAGACTCTGTGGTTATTGGGGGTTCTCGTCGGGTTTGCTGTATCAGCTATCTGCGCAGAGCTGGGGCAGCACACAGAGGGAACACACGCACGCAGCCGAGTGATATCAACAGGAAAAAGCAGAAGCACCACACCGGTAGCATCTCACAACACCCCTCTTGCTTGTCTTTGTTGCGATATTGGTTTTATTAATGTGCTTTAATCTTGGATAGGGAAGGCCCAGCCGTGGGAGTCAGGAAACCTGGGGGTTCTACAACCACTGTTGTCACACACTTGCTGTGGGACCATCAACATGTCACTTAGGGCCTGACTTTCAGACGTGCTGAGCACCCAATAGCTCCCTTTGATTGCAATAGGAGCAGCAGGAGCTTAGCGCCTTTGAAAATCAGGCCAGTAACCTCTCTTGTCCTGTTTCCCTCTCTTTAAAACGGGGATGATGATACTTTCCTGACCCTGCTGGGGCGCACTGGGGCTAAATCCATTAATACTGTAAAGTGCTTTGAGATCCTCAGATGGCAGGTGCTGTAGAAACATTCATACTAATTGATTGTATTTTCTATAATTGTGTCTCCTATAGTAGCCACTTGTATAGAAATGAGTAAAACAATTAAACCTGCAAGTGTTCCTGGGCTTCACTTATTCCACTGAGGTGCCCCACGGGGGACGGGGGGGGGGCGCTTGTTGGCAAAGCCACACTCGCCTCCCAAAACGCTGCTAACTTGCCTCCAGCAGCAATGGGGCGGGGGGGAGGAGGAGAGGGGAAGCTTGTCAGTTTCCAACCTGCAATGATCTTTTAATGAGTGTGGGAGAAAACCCCTGAGCCTCCCAAGAAGAAATCCCCGATCGAGTGTCATCAGCCGAGCCTAGGAGGGAAGAAAAAGCACCGAGCCAAGTGCCGAACACACAATGGACTCGCTAGATGGGTATGAAAAATCACTGCAGCAGCAGCAGGCAGGGGAGAGATTAAATTCACAGGCGAGCCAGGAGCCTCTGGCTTTGCTCTCATATTCTCTCCCCCCCCTTTGCATGTGCAGCGCCTCTCCAGCCCTGTTGTCCTCCCTGCTCCCTCCCCATGGGCTCTGCACAGCCGACCTCTCTCTCTCTCTCTCTCTCTGCTGTTTCGTGGGGCTCTGGTGATGGACAGCTGAGGATCTGGTACCCAAAGGAACTGGCCAGGCACTAGACACCAACCCCACTACTTGCGGGAAGGGAGCTCTGTGCGGACCGGAGCAGTGGATCTCTTCGCTTTTGGGGAGGAGGGGGGCTAGAGGGAGCGGATTTCACAGCTGATTTCGCTTGGGCTCCTGGGCACCTTGTCTGGCACTTTTTCTTTGGGGAGCCTGCGGTTTTGTTGCAATTGCAGAGAGAGGAAGAGGGAGGGATTGCTCCGAGACTTGGACTATCCTCCGGGGCTTCGCATCCTACCTACAGCCATTGAGACCAAGTGGCATTTTGCAGGCTGGACCTCAGGTTCATTTTCGGGCGGTGGGCTGTTTTATTCCCTCCTCGGAGCCGGAGAGACACACACAGGACTGGCCGGGCTTTTTCTTTTTCTTTTCTTTTTTTTTTTTTTTTTTTTTTTTCTTGGCTACCTTCTTTTTTGAGAAAGGAGCCCCTCCCCTCCCCCCCCCCCTCCCCCCGATGAGAGGCTGCTGGGCTCCAGGGATCCGGCTCAGCAGCGAGCGGAGGCAAAGCCAGGGGGCAGCCAGGCGGTGCACCAGCGGCTACTGATCCTGCTGCAAACTTTTCTGCCTGCACCCAGTGCCCCGCCACAGCATGTAAAGGAAGCGCCAGCAGCGTCCTGCTTCACCTGAGAGCCCGAGCCCAGCCCCCCGCCCGCCCCCAGGGTAAGAAGGAAAACAAGCGCGATCTGGGCGGTCGCCCTGCACGGCAGGAGCTGCGCTACGAGCATCACCAACACCCATTCTCCTGGGGAGGGGGGTCCCCGCCGCTGGCATGCCCGACGGGGAGGGGAGAAGGGGAAGCTGGCGGGGGGGGTGGGTGCGCGTCTTGCTGACCGGGGAAGCCAGGACTCGCGTGTAGCTGCGAGGCTTTCCAAAGGCCCCTTCCCCACCCCCCACCCACCCCTTTAGAAATAAAGTTGGGAAGATCTCGGGGGGGGGGAGGCACCGTGCTCTGCGGATGGGAGTGCGATCGGAAACGCCTTTGCTGTGCGCTCTCCCCCCGTTCAGTTACACAGGTCGTGAGCTGACGAGCCCCTTCGCCCAGAGGAGTGATGCTGATCAGAGAGCTGCTGCTGCACTGTGCCCTCCACCCCCTCTGGGGCGTCATTCAGGTAACTCCAACCTTGCCCCAGCCCCGGGCCCTTTTAACTCCGAAGTTGGGTCGGAGGGGGCAGGCAGCACAGATGAACATCTGGCGTTATTTACTGATGCCCTGTGGCCGTAGCCCGGAGTGGGAGAAGGGAGAGGACTCTCTTGAGCTGGAAATAATCACTGCTGGTTGGGGTCCTGGGGCTTCCTGCCCCATACTCTCCTGGTGGGGTTTGGGAATAAGTGGTGTTTGATCGCTTCATCTCCTGGATTAGGAGAGTGTTTAGAGACAGATACATATTCCTGTACAGTTAAAAAAGATGAAATTGGAGATCACTGTCACCCAGAGCCCGAGAAAGAGACTCTAAGACTTCCTGTAAAATCCAGAGTGCCATTTAGATCTCTGAATGCTGCACTCCCGCCACCTTTAAAGTCTGTCTGTCATTACTGCTGAAGATGGTTTTTAGTTTACAAGTCAAAATGGTACATTTAGAACAACTTCTAATTGCTTGGGTTTGACTCAAAAGTGTGTGGTTTTAAATGGCTTTTTATATTTTTGGCATCTCAGACATACCCCACTTTTAAATTGTTTCCTTATTTTCATATACTTCTGAATATTTGAATGTGCTACAGAGAACTTCAGTGACCTCTCACAGTTCAGATGGACTTGCACAGCATGCACATGGTGATATATACAAATGTTAAACAACAATACTAGAGAGACAAGGTGGGTGAGGTAAAATCTTTTATTGGACCAACTTCTGTTGATGAGAGAGCCAAGCTTTTGAGTTTACACAGAGCTCTTCTTCAGCTCATCTCACCAACAGAAGTTGGTCCAATAAAAGATATTACCTCACCCACCTTGTCTCTCTAATACCCTGGGACCAACACGGCTACTCCACCACTTCAAAAAACAATACTGTCATTCATTACTTACAGCGATTTGTAAACTCATCCAGGGACATACTTTGTGTCCATCTCTGTCTGCAAAGAAACGATCACACTTTTGGTGCTGTCTTAATAATAAATATTAAAATTATATACATAGAGAGAGAGAGATGGAATGCACAGGTACGTGTATTTTATATGATGAGTGAAATCCTGGCCCCAGTGAAGTCAATAGGGACAACTCACACTCATTTCCATGGGGCCAGGATTTCTGCATGTATAAAATAGACTATGTATGTACACACAGAGAATTGTTCAGATTTTAATTTTTGCAAATTGTTGACTTTGGAAACTGATAGTCGTCCATGTAGCAGGGAGGAATAGCCCAATATATGTAGCTGTTGCTTGCCTAGTTATAATTCCAATTTCTTTCGATTACTGCTGATTACAGAGAGACATAGAGGCTTTTCTAGGGAGTCTAAGTGATCAACAGCCTTGTGTCTGTAGAACTCAAGTTGTTCTTTCTGAGCAAGATGTGGTTGATCTTTTTAAACATGTTGACAGTGAGAGGGTTTAGAGTATAATTACTATAGGTGGCAATATGTACAAAACAAGGAACACATTGGGGAAGTGCTGAAAACCTCGTTCTGGTAATTTTTGGCATGGTGTTTGAAGTGTCTCTGAACTGAGAATTTGCTGGATAAAAGCTGAATCAGCTTTGTCCATTCGCAGCCTCTGACTGTTATGTGGTGTGACCTTGATTGTAATGTGGGGTGACCAGTGACCTTTCTGCAGATGGACTCAGAAAAAACAGCAGACTAAAATGGACAGTGATCTTCCAATTCAGGCAACCAGGAAACCAGCAAAGCTAACTAAAACACATCCCTTTGATATTTTACACTTTATTTATAATATATGTCTTCAAAGTAGTAATTGATGATCTAGTTGAGTACTGTTTCAGCACAGAGCAACTGCAGTTTCTTTTTTGGCGAAAACATAGCAAAGACTTAATGTCCTTTACTCTCTGTTCTAAACTTAGTGGACTCCGAAAGATTACTCTGAGATTTTTTATTTGTTTTAACATTTGTCTCTTATAAGATTTGTGAGCTCTCCAACTGCCATAAATAATTTATTCATTCTGCTGACTGTCCGGCTCTAGAATTCAGATGGCTAAACTAGTTTCTGTAATTGAAAGTGTGTACATTTAAGGAAAATGCAATGATGTGACAAGAGCAGCATTTGGAAAACCATCTCCTTCAAAAGATCAGGCAGTCACCAAAATTTGCATGAGCACCCGTCATACAAGTCACTCAGGTGATTTAATTAAAAATAAATCAATAATATTTTAAATAGGTTGTGAAATAGGCAAACCAGAGTTGCCCAGCCTTCCTCTGCAATAGTTTAGAAGTTCTACTGCCTGATTCTTGATTTATAACTGCAACATTTTTAGTGTTTTGTGTGAGTCCAGTCAATCTGCTCATATTAGAGTTTTTACTTGCCCACCCCACCCAATGATAAAAGGTCATGCATGGAATAGCCAAGAGTGTCCTTAATGAGGCATGAGGTTTGCACATTCTTTGTATTAAACCTTAAACTGAGCCATGCATTATCCATATATGATCCTAGCTCTTTTACCAATACGAATTCCCTTCCATCACAGATTAGACTCAAAGGGAAAATCATCCCAGGTACAAGTTCTTATAAGTAAATGGGCCAAGATTTGGGGTCATATTCACCCCTGGTGTAACTTCATTTACTAAGAAGGGATGAATTTGATCCATAATCTTTAGCTAAATAAGCCGAGCCTCCTAACTTTGCCCAGACTAACTAGAATAATTCTGTAGCAACTTTTCTGTTTTTCAGGAAATTAATGAAACACTCTCAGGAAAAAAGTAGGACATACCCAGAGACCCTGGGTTCCATGAGCATGTTGTCAATACTGTTCCAGTTAGGTTACCCACACCTGAGGGAAGTGGAAGAGTTGCCAGAAATAGTGAATTGCAGTGGTGCAGGTCCAGTCCAAGTCCAAATTTTCCTCTATAGCATTTTCCAGACTTAACCTTTTCATGTGGTCCACACAGTCAAAAGTCTTTTCCAGGCCCTCACTGTTCTCTCACTGTCATGCCCCCTTTCTCTCTCCGTTCTGTTAATGATACCCATCTGACTCTCTCATTTATCTTCTGTTCCCATCACTCTTTTCGCTCTTCCTTGCATGCTACTCCTTGCACATGGACTACTTTACCTGAACTAATCTGTCAGGGTATTACCTCTTCTCATTCCCTCCCCAAGGCCTATTTCAAAACATCCACAAGAAATCAGCCAGATAAGGGCGGCTAGGTGAGGCACAGTTGATGTTAATTTATTAAAAAAAACAAAATAAAACAAAAAACGCCAAACCTCACGATACTATTAAATGATTTGGAAGCATCAAGTTGTACACTTTGCTGGCCCATCTATTTGCATGAATTATTACTGCTGCCCTGGTCCTCTCTCCCCTTAGCTTCCTGTTGTTTGCTTTGCTCAATTGTTGGGATTTGTCTTAAATGAGATTATAAGCATGTCAGGGCAGTGACCATGTTGTTCTATTTATTTGTAAAGAACCCTAGCGCCATTGGGCCCCAATTCTGCTTGAGGCCTTTGAAGGCCATCATAATACAAATAATTGAAAATAATAAATGGGCATCATAAATTAATGGGGACAAAATCTAGCTCACTGATGTAAATCTAGAGCGACTCTGTTGTGACTTCAGTGGAGTTATTTCGGATTTACACCAATGGAAATGATATCAGATCACTAGACAACTGTCATGACAGAAAGTTATTGTCACATCAAGTAGGCAGTAAGGGTTCTTGATTCTCTATTAGTCGATAGCACTTTTTTTTTCGGTCAGACTGTCATCCTTGCACTTGATTCAGAATGTCTCATAGAGACCATCAATTGGGGACTGCACTGTAATCCTCTATTCTCAAACGTGGAATCCATCCTGCATCATGTAGCAGGCAGATGAATTGCTGTGATCACGTATTGTCCCACTGAAGTCAGTGGGGCTCTGCACAGGTGCACCTTTGCACCCACAGGCTATACAATGCAGGACTGGGGACAGACTTTCTGTAAAAAATCCTTGATTAAAAAGAAACAACCTCACAGACATGGACTTTATATAACTGACTATACAAGCAAGCGATTGCTTTCCAATTTGAATGTATTTATACCACTTTTTGTTTGCTTTTCCATGAATGTTTGTACAAACAGATTTTTATTTACCTGAGTATTAGGAAATGTCTGACCTTTATTCAAAATACATTCACATAAATTGTTCAAACAATTATGAATAATGAAAACATTAATAAAAATCAGCTCTGTCCATAGGTAATTTGAGAATGGAGAAAGGAGTAAATTCTTTGCTACTGATAGTTCACCTAGCTCTAAGTCCAGGCAACCTGAGAGGCCAACCTGACAAATTACTGAATGTATTGAGAAAACCAGATTCAAAACAAAAGAATTAATTTTTTTAGACAGGCCAATGAGAGAAAACTTCTCAGCCATGTCCAGCAATCGGAAGTGTCACTGAAAGCTCAAAAGGTCAAAGAAACAAATCCTGGTCAAAAGAGATCTACAGATCACTAGTGACCCCATGCAAAGACAATCTTTGGGCAATAAACTGAATGGAAGCCAAACTGATATTTGTCTGAAAATTCCTTGTTTATGAAGTGTTTCTGAAGTTTTTCTGTGGCTAAGTTAACATTTGACAAAATGAACAAACAGTAAAGTTTGAGACAGGTCCGTAATTAGCAGAATCTTCCATAAAAGGTCTAGACTTTTTCAACATACCTTTCACTCCTGTCATCTTCTGTAAAGGCAGCTGACCTTGAATTGTACACATTAGATACAGAAAAAGATCTATTAGGTCATGTGTTTCATCAGTCTCTGCCAGGGCAGGATTGCTCCCTACAGTACATTATCTACATTTAGGTTTAAAAGACTCAAGTAATGGCCTTTCATCAGAAGACTAATAGAAATCATCAGAAGTAAAGATTTTCCTGAGAATGAGCCAACATTTTTCATATTCTTTTTCTTAATTCTAATTACTCCTAGTTAATCCCATGTAATAATATTTAACTAATCCTCTCCTATTATAAGGCTTTCATTCCTCTCTGGTTAGTCCTCTTTCAGCAAACCTATACATCTTTAGTGTTTTTAAAGATCTTTCCCTTTAAGACAACCCCTTGAATAAGGGTGAAATCTACAATGTTCATCATAATTACTGAAAATTTCCAGATGCTTTGCTGTGTGACAAAGCAGCCAAGGGAGTGAAAGTCCACCCCTTTGAATCTCAGCCATTTGCTGAGAATAAATCAGTGTGAGGAAACATAGCCAATATGGACTAAGGCATCAAAAAATACCCCAAAAACGAAACAGAAATAGGATGCTCCACTGGAGTATGGCTGGACACATATAGGGTTAATCTTGTCTGCAAAATAATTGAGAAAAATGTCCACTGGATTCTGAGGACATGCTATTACCAGTCCACTGTAAAACAGCCTCTGGGGATTTAAAAGGCAGTCAATAGTTCTAAAAATAGACAGAGCCTTTTGGCCTTGGCTGATATTAAATTAGAGTAATAAGTCAATCTAGCCTTCCCATACCATCACTATCATCGTATGTTTATACACAGGGCTTCTTCTAGGCTGTAAATGAAGAGTTTGCTCCGAATCCCTCCAGTGTTATTCCATCCCATCACTAGTCACCTCCATTTTCCCTGGCTCCCAAGTAATTTTAGTGACCTAAAGTAAGCACCAAATTAAATACCAGGACAAGGGACGATATAGTTATGAGTTGATAGCCTCCTTAGTTAGCTGCCAATGTGCATTGGAATGATATTGCCCCACAACCTCCCTGATGAGTATACATTTTATCACTACCAACCAAAGCCATGAAAGACCCCAGGTCACAGCCCAGCACAGGTCACTAGAGTTCAGCATTGTAGCAAGCTAGTGTTTTAACTACTGGGCTATTGCTGAAACTATCATTAATACAACAATACTATATATAAGCAGTGTAAGAATATTGAACATGACATATAGATTCTTCTGAGGCTTGTGAACTCTGGGAGCTCAATTTAAAGAGAAAAAGAAGCCTGCTTAGCAATCAGATTTAGCACCAGCTCTGGAGGATTATACAGTTGAGTCACTTTGATTCATTACTGTTCAAAGAGTCCATGTAAGTCCCTGGAAACTTTTTGGGATGGTCTATAACTGTCTCTTTATTACTTCCTGATTGTAAGGGAGACAGTTGGAAAGTATTTGTGATTAAATCTGTTTTTTCCTATATTTGGTAATAGATTTTGATAAGCTGTTTAAGGTACTGAATCTTCTGAGGCATGCTGTTTGGAGCCTCTCTCCAACTCATCACTTTTTCTTTTCCCTTTTGCACTCACTGCTGTTTGAGCTACAAAATACTATTTCCAAATAACCAAAGCCACGGGGTGTATTTAGGTACACAATGCATGTGAACAGTCCTGTGTGCACCAGTGGTACATTTGTTAAAACTGCAGTTTTTGTATATGGCCAGAAATATATGAGTATAATGTATGTAACTTTAATGTGGCCAGAAGATGGCATAAACTACACTTTCCCTTTGCAAGGATCAATGCATTTTATTGTAATCAAATGACAGTTAATCAAAAATTACTAGATAGACCATTACTAATATTACTTCCACACAGTATCCTCTATAAAATCCTGGTTCAGTAAAGCACTCCTATTCAAGACTGCACTTATGTACATGCTTAAGTCCTATTTACTTCACAGGGACGTAAGTATGTACTTAAGTGCTCTCCTAAATCGAGGTCTAAAAATGCATGTTAGACATTCTTTTTCTTAATTTCTGAGTCTTATCTCCTCAAAATAGGATCTTGCATAGATTCTTATTTTAAATAGGAATTTAAATTAATTTCAAAAGAAGTTGACTTAGAGACCTCTAGAACTAAATACTCATTGGAAGCTATTGGGATGCTTGCATAATTTCACTTTTACCAGAGGTTCACCTCTCTTGCTTAATCTTTCTACATTTTCTGTGGTCTCAGATGAGTCATTTTAGGGTTCCTCGATATTTTTAAAGTTGATAATTGTGTAAATATTATATTACTATTGTAATGCATTACAACTAGTTGTCCTGACGTATCAAGATGCTGAGTATATTTTATACCAGGGGTCACCAAATTAAAAACATGAGGCAAATGATACCTACAGGACCCTACAATGGCCCATAGCCACCTTTATCATTAGCATGTCACACAGGCTATGGGTCACAGCATGTGGTATTCCATCTTGATTGAAATGAGTGTGTGATTCATGTGGTCCTCAGATGGACAAAGTTTGGGCTGTCTTGTCTTATGTTTACAATAGCCAGAAGTGAAAGGGCTAACACAATAGATTCTGGACATAAAGAAAAGGTAGTTTTCATAGTGTAGAAAAAGAGATCTAATTTGGCCCTCAGTTCTGCCATAAATCAATCACCATCCTGGCAAATCCCAACGGGACTTGACCTCCTTGCAAATTGAGCACCATCTGGGTCAATCTCTGGCAAAGTTGCCTAAGGTGGTGTGGTTAGGGTGACCAGACAGCAAGTGTGAAAAATTGGGACGGGGATGGGGTGTAATAGGAGCCTATATAAGAAAAAGACCCCAAAATCGGGACTGTCCTTATAAAATCGGGACATCTGGTCACCCTAGGTGTGGTTGTATATTCAATTTATGTCCACCACTGGCAATATCTTGTCATGCCACCTAAGCTTTTGATGCCCACGTGATTGCTGGCTGTGTAGCAGCGTTCCTTGATATACACACTTAGGAATTCTTTGGTTTTCCATTCTTATAATATGCCCATACCAAGAAAGCTACCAAAACTGAAACAGTACTGATGGAGGCAGTTGCTGGGTTTGGCTTGGAATAGCCTCATTTCTGATCTTGTCCAGCGACTTGATATGATGCAGCTGACAAAGACAATGAGAATAGAAAACCTCAAAACAGTGTTCTTCAGCCTTCTTCAGCACCCATATTTCACTTCTCTACAATAGAGTTGGTATAACTGTGGTTCTATAGGTCCGCAGCACTGTAGCCAGCTTGCTATCATGATGTACCCAGAGGGAACACAGAAGGGCCCAAAACATGGCAGCAGCTGCTGATATACAAGTGTCCAAATATTTCAAGCATCCTCTAGCACTGTCTGTGATGCTGCCCAAATATTTGACAGGTGCCATCTGTTCAATGTCCCACCCGAACAGGTTAATACTGAGGTGGTTGTAATCTGGAGATAGAGGCTGATTGATGGTAACAGCCAGGGAATTAGTTTTATCTGGATTAATAACCAACCAGATCAGCCATCAGCTGCAGGGATCTCACCAAACTAAGACAACAAGACAATTGAAGCAGAATGGCATTCAGCTCAATGCCACAGACAGTTGTCACCTCAAGCTTTCCATCAATCACTCAGTATCGATATTGAACAACAATGGTGACAGACCGCAGCCTTGCCGAACTCCCAAGGAGATAGGAAACCATGCCATGTGCGTGCCATTGACTTGAATGCAGCTTTCCGTTCCATTACAGAGCTCTTCTATCAATGACATTCTCTTCCCAAAGATGCCAAGTCACCTCATCAGAACTCACAAATGTGCTTGTACTTGTTTTTTTAACCTACTTCTGCCGTAAGGAAAAGGAACCTAATGCTGCCCACAGAAGCTAATGGGGTTGTGTGTGTGTGCCTGAGGGCAGAATTTGGCCCTAAGCATCTTGTAATGTTTATTAACTCTCTTTAGCTTGAGATATGTTTCCAGGAACTAATTCATATTTTTCTTTACAGATCATTCAAGGTGAACCACAGAAGTCATGTTCCAAGTCTGTAGCAGAGAAGGTTACGGAGAGTTGCCAGCAAATCTGCCAGTGTAGACCACCTCCTCCATTACCACCACCTCCACCACCCCCACCACCTCCGAGGTTGCTTGTGGTCCCAAGTAAGTAAAGATTGGTACTACTACCATATGTCAGAGGGAGGAGTGGAAAATGGGGGGCATTTGGACAGATGGAAAGTGAAAAAGTGCGAGAGAGGGCACAATTAAACCTGGTTGTAATTTTTCACGTAGTGAATGGGAAAAAATGTTCTCGGTAAAAGTAGAAATGTATTTTCTGATCAATTAATAATGTTCTGCTTTTGTAGAGGATCCAGAGAAAATTCTTCCCCTCATTAAGCTTTGTGTTCCCTTGCGCTAAATGACTCACTAATGACCTAGCCTCAGGGAATGTAGTCCCCACCTGGTTTTCTATATTTTCCCCTTGTTTGCATGATCATTTTAAAATATTTTATGACTCACTTGTTACTGGGTCTGCAGCTTAGAGATCTTTAGGTAGCTTCCCTTACGTACACCACAAAAAATCAGTCTCCATGAATAAGCTAAAAGCCAAACAATATGACTAGAGTTAGTTTTTGCTCAGTTGAAGTCAATAGAGCTATGCCAGTTTAAACCAGCTGTCGGCTTGGCCTGTTTGTAACTTGATTATTTAAAAGTACAGTAACGGTGAGAGACATGTCAAGAATGAAAAGCCCAAGCAAGCAGACTGTGCTCTCAGCCATATATATATATGAAGCACGGAAACACAAAATACATATCCCCAGCCCCACCCAACTGGTGCATACAAACTCCAAGTAAATGGGAGGAAATGTGTACATTTTACCAGGCCCTGGTCACAAGGCCATCACTGTGAGGGAAAAAAAATCAAGCTAAATTGTGGATGCTTGAGTTGGACTAAATATTATTTATATAATCTTGGTGAGTATGTTTGTATTTTTCTCTCTATCTGTGTGGGTTGGGATGGAGGCTTGTGTTATGAGTTTGCCCTAGGCCCAGTGAAATGTTGCTCATGCACACCCATTATGCCGTTGCTATTACAAGCTATAGGCAGGAGTAGTAGTTGGAGGCCACTTCTCCCATGACATACAGGTTTGTGGATCTAGAGTTAGCCAAAAGAGATTAGAAGCATTATGTTGACCTTCATCAGTGGGCAACCCCTCAAATCGCAGTTGGAGATAAAGTATGGCTCCAACAGAATACCTTGACTCTACCCAGCCTTCAAGGAAGTTAGATTACTGATATCTTGTCCAATTCTGGGTGATCCAGCAGATCAGCCTTGTAGCCTTCAAACTCCAACTGCCTAGGGCGATGAAAATGCACCCGGTATTTTACATCTACTTGCTGAAAAATTACACTGACCACTCCTCCCTCGGATGAGTACAACTGCCATCTCCACCCATCGTAGTCCAGGGGCCGGAGGAATATCTAGTGAAGCAGATCTAGGCCTCCAAAATTCTCTCGAGGAAAGCTCATGTACTCTGTTGATTAGGAGGGTTATGGTCCAGCTGATCGTTCATGGGAGCCCGCCAAAAATATACATGCACCTGACCTGCTTCAAGAATTTCATTGGTCACACCCTCATAAACTTGGCTCAAAGACACCTGGTAGGCATCTTTTGAAGAGGGGGTAATTTAATGAGTCATTTTTGAGCCTAACGAGTGCTCTCTGAGCCTTAGCCTGATGAGCGATCCCTGAGTATGATTACCTCAGGGCTCCACATCAATCAACTAGGGCTCAGCCAATCCACAGGCAAAGGTCTATCCAGGTGACCCCAAGGCCAGGGATATAGGCTCCCTATAAGAGCAGCCACACCAGTCTGCTGGTGAGGTAGCAACATTGAGGAGTATCCCCTGCCGCTTGGTGGTTCTGACAGACTGCTCCTGTTCCAGCTGCTTCCTGCTCCAGCCTTGTTCCAACCCCACTCTTGGTTCCTGATTCCTGCTCTGCCCCAGGCTCTGGTCCCTGGCCCGACCACTAGGCCTGACCATCCACTTCTCAGTTCTGACACCAAGAAGTTCCGAGGCAGCACCAGGAAGCAGACTCTCCTTGCAGTGTAGTTCCCTTGAAAGGTGGAGGCTGGGTTAGCCCCACAAAACAGGTACTATGTTGACTGGCCTAGGTGAACAATGTGGAGGAAAATCCCTTGTGGCCTCCCCAAGCTCCTTCATGGGTTTTCTCCACATAAAGGCTGTTTTAGGGCCTTTGCAACAATGTTTAGATTCTCCTCCTAGATGCTTCTAGTTCCTTCAGAAAGGAGTTCCATATTCCAGAGTATCTATCTAATTTGCTTATATTTTTGCAAATTAGTCTCTCCAAAAAGGCAACCTGCACTATTAATTCCTACCATTGCCTTTAATAAACTCCCTGGGAGGTCAGTGTTGCAATGTACATCTATTACCCTTCAAGTTATTACCTGAAGGGAAATGTAACCATTTTGTAGTGTCTCTTGACTATTTATCACTCAATTTATCAATCCCCAAAGGTTCTAATGGTGCCTTACTTCCCAAATCCCTCTTCTAATGCAAAGAAGACCAACTCTTGCACATGGGGGTGAGAAGGCATTCACTGAACATTTGAAGAAGGGTATTTCATAAGTTTATTACTGCAGAGGAGAAAAGGAGCAGAATTTTCCAGTGTATCTTCAGCTAGGAGAGTGTCTTGTATCTCTGCCATGCCACAGGAGTCTAAGGCAACAAAATAATAGTGCTTTGAACCCTTGGAAAATATACTGTGTACTGACAACTTGAAAAAGGGAGATCAAGGTTTTAAATATCAGGAAGAATCTTTGTCAGCATTCAAGAAGACACTGTGTACATTTATACTGACCCTGTTTCCCTGAGCGACCTAACCCCAAATGACTAATTTTTTTTAACAAGTTATTGTGTTTTAAATGTATCAAAAAAATAAATTGCACATCCCATTCCCTAGTACGTTTTAGACTAGCAAAAGACTAAACCAAAACCTTAAGTGCCATGAATTAACATAAGTGTCCAGCAATCCCTCTATTGCAACAGTGTGCAAGTATTCTTGTTAAATATCAGTGTTATGGATGTTTCCTCTAAACAACTGTAGTGCCCCCTCTCCACCCAGTTACCTTTTTTAATGCCAATCTGCTTACAGGTGTTGATGGACAGGTCTGGGTTTTTCTGGATCCCGCCACCCACTTAGCAGGGTGTATTTTCTTTATTTTTTCCTATGAATTTATTTGGCGGTGCCTTCACCCCCCCTCGCTCCTTCCTGGCAGGGTTACCAGAGCAGCTTGGGAGGAAAATTTTAATTACAGGGTAATTCCCACTTACTTGCCAGATATTTCTTGGAAGTCTCCAACTAATACAAACACATACAATATATTCAACACACTAATTATATTAAACAGGAGACAAATATGACATAACTAGGTAAAACACTATTTTTAGGGTCACTGGTGCCCATGCTGATAATACCCGTGACTTTCCCCAGTCACCTGACCTGACGTAGCAAATATAAGATTAGTGTCCCATTGGTACATGTACTTTGTTGGGGTCCTTGATGATTTATGGCCACAAAATTCTTCTCCACAGTGGTCAAGCAGTGTGGCTGACTGGGTTCAGTACAGCCCAAAGGACTCACAAGTAGGAGGAGGTGGTAAGTCCCTCCATAGGTTTAATATGCAGCAGGTTATAAAATCCCCAAACCCTTACTCCCTGGCTTGAGGACACAGTTCAGGGAGTAGGGGGTCCCCAAAACAAGTTCCCTGACTGACTAACTTAAAGATGGTGCACTCACAAACTCCATGAATGATCGTCAGGTTCAGAGATGACTCTGGACTCCTCAGTCACTGCAGAGGGGCTGATCTCTACTGGCAGGGATCCTTTTCAGACAGGAGTCAGGCTGCTTCTGGTCCCAGGATTTCCCCTCACCACAAAGGGGTGCAGGGCTCAAGGTGCAGATTACACAACTATACTAAAATCCAAACTGTAGTTTTCTAGCCCAGCATCCAGACACATTCACAGCAGGCAGCAGCCCTGGACTAGCAGCCAGAGCAGAGCTAACCATGTGGTGACTGGTTTCACCTAGGGAGCTGGAGGGCTAACTCAGCCTGGCTGGGGACATTTCCCAGCAAAACTCTACAAATTGGAAGCCATCAGTGGAGAGGGAAAAGCCCAGCTGAGGGATCTTGCTTTCAGGTCCCTAGAGAAACCCTGCATGCAGGCCTGGGACTCACCAGCTCCCCCACACAGCCAGTCCTGCCCTTGCCCTGGCTGGCTCCAGACTGACTCAAAAATGGCTTCTCCCCTTTGGTGAGCTCCCTGGGAAGGGCATCTCACTCCCTATTGGTTGCCGGGCAGACTCTGAGTCTGCCGTGGCTCCCCCTCCCTACCAGGGACAGTGTGCCTCTCCCTGAGCGGCCAGCAGACAGAGCCCCAGGAATCTAGGTAATCTCCTTGGGGGTTACACAACATTCAGGGGGAGAGGATAGTATAGGGACAGGACAGGCTGTTATTAAATGGTTGATGCTAGAATTGCACAGTGTGCAATCACTGTGAAATCATTAAAGTTGAAAGACCAGAGAGGCCTCAGCAAGAAGCATCAGCCCAGGGAGATTACAAGATCTTTATGTTTACAAGATAACGAGTCTGAACCCGGAGGCACTTTGAAAAGATTTAGGTCCTGATTCTCAAAGCTCTTTATCAAGCTTCCCACGCAAAGGCCACAAACTCCTAGAAACAATTCTTAAAAGCACTTTGCAGTAGAACTATTAGTTGCTAGGGGTTTAAGTAACTCCCAAATCATTCTAAAATTGCAATTGTGGTTTGAGACTACGTGTGAAAGTTCAGTAAGTACTAAGTTATTTGTACATCCAGTTATTGTGGGCCTTGAATGTCCTTATGATGGTTAATAGTAGGAGTGTTTAAGGGGATGATATGAGCATTAGATTTTCATTTAGTGTCTGTTTAGACATTTGGGTATCAAATCAATGTGGCAAATGCTGAGCTCCGCCTACCATTTTCTTATTGAATAATTACATTACAAACTGACTGCACAAAACCTATAGTTAAACGTAGTGACCAAATGTCAGACATAATTACAGGCAAATGTTGAATTTTCTCTAATGGAGTAATGAT